TTTCCTGGCTTTTTTCCCCTTGTTTTCTGACATGAGAAAATTTCTGGCAGGGGAGTAAAGGCTGGTGCTTGGCAGGATGCCTTTCATAGGACTTGTGACAAGTGGGAATAAATCTTCACTAGCTACTGCAGATTTCAGATTAAAAAAAACTCAGATGTAATTGTCCAATTACCATTTGTTTGCTAAACAAATGTAATTTTGCTGGGGTTACTTGAAGTGTGCCTTCCTGAGATTTGTGATAAACTTCAGTTGAGATGAAGGGACAAGGATGTGAGATATCTTCAACAGGATGAAATTCCTTTTCCCTGCAGTAAGTGCTCTCAGTGCTAGGTGGATTTCATCAGAATGTCTTGAAGGTATGAGAAGATAAAAGTAATCATGTTTTTGCTTTTGATTTTAATGCAACAGCTTTTGTCTCAGAGAGCCAGTGTCTGCTTAAAGCAATTATTTTGCTGCTTGAATACCTTGAATACCATCTCTGTGGCTGCCATTTTCCCCCTCGTTCATTATTCAGGGTGAATTAAATGACCTAATGATGTTCAAAGCTAATTCTAAATCATTGTTGGGAAATAATCAGTGGTGTTCAGCAGATGCTCATCATAACTGATGCACATTATTTTTTGCATTTAAACTAGTTATAGTGAGTAAAAATACTAAGAAATACTGCAATAATATTGTTTTTTTAAATTACCTTTCAATCCTATGCACATTTTCCTATTGCACATTTTCTTCTGGAGCTAAATGACGCAAACACTTGTTTCAGGATGTGTACAGCTGGTAGGTTAGAGTTAGACTTCTCTATGTTTTTCCAGATATGTTGGTATTTCATAACTTTTTTCTATGTGAATAGAATTGAAATTCTTCTCTTTTCATGCTCATAGCACTACATTCCAATTATCTTGATTCTTGGCAAACATTAATTGATGCTTCCTTAAAAAACAATAAATAAAATGTTTATAAGTTTGTATTACATTTTTTTCCTTTCACCTCAACATGAGTGTTTGTGAAAACCTATAACCCTGAGATATTTTCTGTTATAATTACTGAAGACTTCTTCCTGTTGGCATTTTGGAAGGGAGATGCAGCTGGTTTTATTGCAGTAATGTCAGTTGAACAAAAAAATCCAGTGCTGCTGTTTCAGTGTCACATGCTGATGTGATAAAGGCTTCTGAAGACACTAGAGATCAGACTTATCAAGAAGTTTCGTCCTCAATATGTCAGAACCTATAATACATGAAATGATTTTGTTACTGGGGGGGGAAAAAGAAGAAAAAGCTCAGAACAGGAAAGGAGAGAAGTCAAAAAGAAATGTTTCTGTGTTAGAAAATACTTCATTTCTAGTAAGGTATAATCATAGTTGAAAATTAACCTTTGTCTAAAAGGACTATAATACCTTATTTTTTATATATTTACTGTCACAGTTAAAGTATTTTGCAAACACTTGCTGTGCCACTTTGTGGTTGTAACAAGAACCATACATCTTTCTTCTGGGGTTGAACTTCAGAGAGGAGCTTTACTGCAGTTTAGAAATCTTTTCAGGGAGGAAATTGAGCAGTGAGAGTGGCATAGGCCACTGCAGCATCGAGAGGCTGATGGCTTCTCTTTCCCCAGTCTCATATTACAAAGTTCTGTTTGGTGCAAATAGGCATTTGAGGAGTGTTGTTTTCATTCCTTCAGCCTCACAGGCTTGGCAGAACTGGAAAGTTCCTCTGAGCCAGTGTCTCTGCAGACCTGAGAGGCAAGGCTATGGCTTCCTGCTCCTCTGGCATTAAATACTAATAACAGGAAATAATTTATAGGTCTAGTTTTGTATTGATACAGTTATATTGTTATAACTTCTGGTATTTTGTGGTTTTTTATTGATAGGTATACGTGGGGAGATCAACGTGGTGGTGAAAGTAGATCTCTTCAATGATTTAAACAGATTTAGGCAGTCATCCTGTGGAGTCAAATTTTTTTGCAGTAAGTAGAGGAAAAAAGTTAATTTGGACAAAAAAAATTTTCCTTCTTTTCTATGTCTCTTCTGTCTCCCTTCTCTTACCAGCTCATTGCATAAACCTAGTGGAGATAACATTGACACAAATTGCTTTTCTTTTATAACACATTTTTACCGTTGACATTTCAAAACAATGCAAATAACTGATGGGATTTTTTAATGTCCAGAAGTTGCATTTCAGTGCCTGTGCACATACACACCTGGTGTTATTTTGGGTCCATATCTTTTTAAAGAGGCCCAAAGTGAAAAGGTTTCGTAGTGGTACATGTTGTAACTGGTACACTGGACAATTATCTTATCAGTGTTCCAGGATTCCACGAGCAAAACTTCCTGGGTGTGTCCACATTTTCACAGAAAATTGTCTGGGAAACTGTCTGCAATCTGTCGCTGTGTGATGTGAGATTTTTCTGGCTGTCCTGGGCTCCTGGCCTGTCTCTGCCATCTCGGTGTGTGTCTGTTCCAGCTACGTCCATCCCCAAGTGCTACCGAGCCGTCGTCATCCACGGCTTCGTGGAGGAGCTGGTGGTCAACGAGGACCCCGAGTACCAGTGGATCGACAGGATCCGCACGCCCAGGGCGTCCAACGAGGCTCGTCAGAGGCTCATCTCGCTCATGTCAGGTACCAGCCCTGCCCCTAAGGCTCCCTGGCACTCTGACAGTGCTCTGGCAGCATTTCAGTAGCTGCCTGCCTCAGGGGTGCAGAGGAGCTTTGTTGTTCATTGCGTTGATTTGTTTCGGTACACAGTCTCTTCTGTTTCTGAGGATTACATATTTGTAACTGATGGGCAGTGTTACTGTTTTTTTGGGTTTTTTTTGCACTTTTTGGGGAGGCCATGCTGCTGAATAATGTTTTAGTTGCTTTTAGCAAGGTCAGAGAAACCTGTGAAACTTTCTCCAAGATATTCTTAACCCATATGAGGAGTATCACTAGAATTTTGACTCAGACAATTAAAGAAATGAACTTCACCCTCTTTGAACTTGTTGAAGTATGTGAACAAATAGGCACTTTTTCAGATACAGTGCATCAGTGCTTATGGTACTCATCCCATCTCTTGGAAGTCAGGCTTCATTCATTGTTTCTCAAGCACCTCCTGTGAGGACAGAGAAGAGAAACTTTGGGATGACCTTGGAGGCCTTCCAGTGTCTGAAAGGAGCTACAAGAAAGATGGGAGGGACTATTTGCAAGGGCCAGGAGAGACAGGACAAGGGGAACAGCTTCACACTGACAGAGAGTGGGTTTGGATGGGATATTGGGATTAAATTCTTCCCTGTGAGGGTGGCGAGGCCCTGGCACAGCTGCTCAGAGCAGCTGTGGCTGCCCCATCCCTGGAAGAGTCCAAGGCCAGGCTGGATGGGGCTCTGAGCACCCTGGGATAGTGGAAGGTGTCTTGAGATCTTCAGTAAGTGGGGCAACAAAAAAGATTGTGGAGAAGTGCCTTCATTGGGAAGGTCAGCATGCTGTGAGGGAAAAAGTTAAACTGTTGTCGTAACTAACATGAGGACATTTTTGTTACTATAGCCCCCGTATTAGTTTACAGAATCCATATTTGCATAATTAGTGACATGCATAAATAGTTCAGGTGGATAAAGTATTCTGCTAGATTTTATTCATGGCAGAGATAAGAGGATAGAAACCCAAAAAAACTCACAGGAATACTGTTTCATCTCATATAATAAAATGTGTGCTATTGCAATATATTTTATTGGTAATCACACAAAGAATCTTGAAGAAATCTGGAACTTCTGAGAGTGATCCAGGCTGTTTCACAGATTTTTGTCATTTTGTGTTAAGTTAAAAAGAAACTTTCATACTCCATCTCAGTCTTAGAGTTTTTTCAAGACTACAGCCATGGTTTCATTTAAGAAGTTTACAAGAGTAACCTGTGCTGATAATTTTGGAATCATGCTTCAAGAAAGCAATAAAAACCAGAGCCAGGAGTTGGACTTAGATGGTACTTGTGGGTCACTTCCACCTCAGGAAATTCTGTGATTCTCTGGCCATTTCTTTCTAGTTGATTTCTCAGCAGCAGCAACATTAAGACTGTTAGGCCATCCTTTGTGACAGGGAGGATTTTTCAGTTTGTTAACAGAGGATTTTGGAAATCTTCCATTTTTGTAAGAAGAGAGATTATATTTTCTACCTTAGTTATTACCAAGGCAATCCAGCTACACAGAACCATTAATGTCTATAAAAGATGTCTCCTAAAAAAACATTAATGACAGACCAGTTTCTTATAGTCACAGTCTTTCAGTCCTTGTGTGCAGTTAATAGAAGTAGTAGTGTTTGATTTGCAGTAGAGGGGCAAAAAGTGGGAAATAAGTTGAAATATGCTTAAATAAATTGGTAAATGAAGAAATTATAGATGCTTGTTCATTTTAAAGATGTTGTATTGTTTTGAAGTATTATATATGTAATATTATTGAGGTATTAAATATGAAGTATTTAGAAACTCACGTGAGTTCCACAACACATCTTAACCTCTCTCTCTCTGAATAAGCAGAAAAAAGGAAAAAAAAAAAGCTTACTGGAAATAAAGGCTAGTGGGAAAAACCTCTGAAATGACATGTTGCTTTGGCAATCAAAATGGATTTGGAGAAAAAAGCAAAAAGTTGTGTAAGTGATTGGTATCACACAATGTTGTAGGAGACAGAAGTTGTGACTGGCTCCTTGGCCTAGCTGTGTAGGATTGGATTGATTACCTGTTCTCTTGACTTGGTTCACACTCAAAAAGCTGAGTCAAAGACCACAAAAGAGAATAGAAGAAATTCACTGCAACTCTGAGCTCTTTACCTTTTGTTTTGTAGGTGAATTGCAGAGGAAGATTGGCCTGAAGGTGCTTGAAATGAGAGGAAATGCTGTTGTTGGTTATTTGCAGTGTTTTGATTTGGAGGGAGAGTCTGGACTCGTAGTGAGAGCCATAGGAACAGCCTGCACGTTGGATAAATTAAGTAACACATCAGCATTTTTACCTGCATGTAACTCCCCATCCAAAGAAATGAAGGAGTAAGTATGAATTAGTAGCTTGGAGGGAAACAAGTTTCACTTCTCTTCCTTTCATACTCATGCAGTTTTTCATAACCGGTGTGGTTTCTTTTTTTTTTCCCCAGAATTTGTTTTTCTGTTGTAGTTTTATTTGTCTGCAATAAGTTTTATATTCCACAATTATGAAAAGTTTCAGGTTGGATGAGTTGTTATATAGAAGCTGGAGTGGTAATTCTTACTTAAGATGACTTTGAATTTATGTAGCAGCAGTACTACATATCCTTGGTTTATGATCCACCAGTTTAAGTGTGCTTAGTTCTGCTTTGATGCTGTGTTTGTGCAATGAACATTTTTGTGAGGATGTCTCACAAATATACCTTTGGTTCAAGTTTATTTATATAAAGCATGTAAGAGAAGATAAATTTGAATTCTGATTATTCTGTCAGTGATTTAGACAATGACCCCAGAGAGGCCTCATCTTTTATTGTGTGCTTTGCTTTTTACTGATGTGGAACAAATAGGACTATGGCAGAAGAGGTAGACAGTGAACTTGCAGAGAGATCTTTTTACTCTGAGAATTAGAATTTTGTAATTTGGTCATACATGCTGCAGCACTAAACAGTTTGAGTGCAGTGTTTTGATATGCATACAAATTAATAGAAATATACTTGCAGTCTTCTTTCAGCTGTTGCTCCTTTTTTGCATGGATAAATTAGTTATTTTCTGTTTGGTAGAGCAATCCAAGAAGGAAAAAACTGCAAGAAGAAGTGTATTACATATCCTGTATTTCTAGATGCATTAAGTAGCCATTTTCATTAACTTGAAATGTTGTGTCACTGCAATAGAGATGAGGCATTTTTGTTGTGCAGACTTCAATTGCACTGCAAAATTTTACAAAATACGAGCTGACTTTTAAAAATTCCTGGTTTCTATTTCATGGCATAGCTTGTTTGACTTGTCTTGATTTCAAAAAATTGCCTTTAAAAGAACTTCTGGATACAGTGCAGCATAGAACAACAGCATGGTGTTTAAAAGCAAAAAAGGAAGACCTGGTAATTATCAACTTTAAAAGCACCCATAAATAAACCAGTGCCTTTCACTCTGCAGCTAAATGTGGAAATTCCACCTCCTAAATTATCCACGTTCAACTCAGTGATGGATATTTTCTCAGTTCAAAAAATGGGAATGTTTCTCTAAGGCAGCAAAACCAACTAATTTGATTCTTCTTATTCTTGGCTTTACTAACTTGACGGCCTGTTGCCAAAAATCAATGATGCAGTCACAAGCAAGTGCTTAAGCTCTTCCTTTCCCTCCTTTTATTTCATCTGGACTCTTGCATGCTAGGAATTGAAATTCTTAGAGTCTGCTTAGAGTAAGAGATCTCCTCTATCTAAACTTCCCTGAAACCATTGATAACATAACTTTGCAACCTGTTTGTATGTATTGTTTTCTTTTCTTCCACCTTGGCTGCAAACTCTCTCAGGTCTCCGCTGGTTCATCCGCCAAGCCATGGATGCCGCTCGACCCACAACAGCCCAATTCACACTGCTACTGGCTCACGACTCACTCAGAACTTCTCTGTGTCTGTTCCCACTCTCATCTACACTGGTACGAGACTGCTCACACTCCACAGCTGGGGAGAGGCAGCCCACAGGCACAGTGCTCCCAAAGGGCAGGCAGGCAGGCAGGGTAGGCAGGTACCACCCGTCTTCCTTCCCTCATTTCCTGCTGGACACACCTTCTGTCAGCAGGGAGAAGCAGCCAGGGTGCTGCAGCTCAAGCAAATGCACAATAGTTTCTTGGAGATGCCTCGGAGTCTCTTCCACAAAGCCACGCTCTTCGCTTTGACACGCTCTTGCTTCCTGTGAAATTAACTAAAAAAAAAAACATGGTGATGGAACTGGGAAACATTGATTTGTGCTCATAACTGCTTTCAAACATAATTCAGATACAGTAGGTTTTAAAATGGTTCTAGGAAGGGTCTGTGCCATTTGTGGAAGAGATGGTTTTAGAGAGCAGGTAAGTCAAGCTGTGCATAAATAAACTGTTTGTCAATAGAGTTGTTCCCATAAAGATTCTCCTCTTTGCTCTGTTTTTAGCTGTGGCATGCTGCTGATGCTATAGGATAAGGAAACATATCTTTTTTTCTGTTTTTTTTTACCTTAAAATGCACGTGTATATACATAAGTGTATCAATATGTATAAACACAGCTGTAATTTGAAATCATTTTTTCTTTATTAAACTAACTCAAAGCATTGTGTATTTGACCAGATTTTTAAGCCATAAACTTTTCGATTTTTTTATTTTGCATATATATATAATTTTTTGTCACATCTCATGCCTTTCATTTGGCTTAATTGTTTCATTGTAGATGATGAGCATCTCTGTGTAGGATGCTGAGAGGGTAAAACAGCATTTCTTTGCCTCTGGCCTCATTCCCAGCCTCGCATCTAAGGAATAGCTGCTGGCCCTGCCCCAGTCCCATCCTGGTGTTTGGATCATGCTGCTGTCAGCCAGGTCCTTTGGCACAGGATTACTGAATATGTTTCCACCTTCTTCTGGCAGGATTCCTTTCAATGAAGATCCCAATCCCAATACATATTCATCAGGACCCTCCACCCCTCTGAAAAACCAAACTTATTCCTTTTCACCTTCCAAGTCCTACAGTCGACAGTCCTCTTCTTCTGACACAGATTTGAGTTTGACACCCAAAACTGGTAAGGCACTTCCACCCACTTTTTCTTTAAGTTGTGTTTCTCTTTTTATATTTTCACTCAACCCCTTTTTGCATTTTGGTATTTAAGTTATCAAAATGGTGTGAAAATTGGAGACCTCACACAGCACACCTCAGGCTCTAAAGGGTTTCTGCAGGGTCAAAATTTCAATCCTGCCTTTATTTCCACTGTCTGGGATAACTTGAAAATTACTTTTGTAACACAACTGTATTCAAGTCAAAATAAAACATCTCAGAGCATTAAGGGAGTTCTAAGTAATTGCCTTTTCCTTATTTCCTCCATTTCATATAATAGATCTTAGGAATGTATTTCTCACCACAATATGTTAAGGATGGTGTTACTAAAACTATGTAACCTTCAAGCCTACTGTGTTGTGCCCTAAGTTTACTGCCTACGTTTACCTAATTTTGAACTCCCTTTTGCAAATTCAAAACTAGAAATGTAGCAGCCACTGTCTTTTTATTCTCTTGGTATATGGAAATAGCTTTACATACACAGTATACACTTTCAAAGTACCTTAAATTACATTAGAAGTAATCCAGCCATCTTCAAAAAACGTTTTTCTTTTTCCATTGCTTTATCATAATTTTTTCAACTTGTTTTTTCCTCCCTTCTTATTTTTTAGTCTGTGGTTAGAATCATGTCAGTAATGATGTCAGCAAAATTCAAAGAATTCCTGTATGTTTATTTTTTATTGTATGACCAATACTGTGAATTTTGCCACCACAGGGCAAAGTATTTTGTAGAGTTGATTGTAGAAGTGTAGTTGGTTTTTAAATGGTGTTTTAAATTGTGGTGTTTGAAGCCCAGAACATTCATGGCTCTCTTTAATTAGTCAAATTTTAAGCATATTAAGGTAGTTGATTCAGCTTTACTTGATAGCACTCCTTTCAAGAATTTTTCCTAGCAGATAAATTGAATATTGCTTTCAAATGGAGTTGTATTAAATATTTCATGCAGTTTATTCCCTAGATGTGTTAAAAATACTCCCATTTAGCAGGCTGTCTTTCTTATTGCTGTCTTCTCTCTCCCATTTTTAAAACAAAGAAGCAAAAAAAGCACACTTTAATTTTTGTCCTTTTTCAAGGATATCTGTCCTCTGGGTAACCTATGGAGGTCACTCATTTAAAGGACCTACAGATATAATTGGATGCTTATTACTTTATGAGCACCCCAAATTCAGGTGTTTGGCTTACAGAATATTTGAAAACCTGTTTCTTTTGATCAGATTTTCCATGGTAAAGATGATGTCATGTAAGGATTTAAATGTAACCTAGGTGATCATCTTTGTAGATGTAAGTGTTGTGAATTTAGGCATGTGGCAACTCACTGTGGATGTGTTAGGTCTTAAAGCAGCAGCCTAATGTATTTCCTGGCAATATTAGGTAGGTGGATAAATCCTGTTGTCTTTAGTCAGTTTGTTCAGAACTGAAACAGATTGTCATTGGTGCCTCTTATTTGTCGGGATTTTTCAAGTATGTAAAGATATTTTTTAGCTATTTTTCTAGTATTAAAGCAAACTGTGGGCATAGTTTTGCTTATTAGCACTGTCTTTTTGGCAGCTTTTAACTCTGCTACTGAAGCTTGTCCAAAGAGGAAATTCTAGTTACATTTAAACATACTGTATCTTGCTATGACAAACTCAGTTTTGGATCTTAATAGGTTGAAAGGACAACACCTGATGAGTTTTACCCAAAATTTGATGATATGCAGAAGACACTTCCATGCCATACGAAATTAGTATGTTGTTAACAGTTACTGTATATGCTTAGACCTGTTTTTATCTCCCAAGGCTGTTACCAAGTTCAAATATCTCAGTGTGTAAGTTGGTGATCTTAGTAGTTAAAGAAATGCAGACTTCTCATGCGATACATCAAACATTATCAGATTCGAGATACCCATTACTCAGATTGGCTGATGTGAAAAAAGAAGTATTTCCTGCTATTTCTGCAGTACATTATATTCTTTATTTCTCAGCCAGGTAGTTAGTGTGCTGACGTATCTGAGAGGGAGATTAACCTGGAGAAACAGTGCAGATACCACAATTTCCCAGTATGAGTAACAAAACACTGGAGTTGAAACTTGGATCTGCTTAAGCATCCAATTTTCAATAGCTCCAAATCTGGAGACTTTTACCTTGATGTCTTCTGTGAAATACAATTGTGTTGTGTTATCCATTCTTATCTGTAAATACATTGGCTGAATTTAGGGTTGGAGTTAGAATTCTGGGAGTAGGGATATATTTTTTGCCACCACAAATTAACAGAATCAGGCTGACAAAAAGCATGATGTTTTTTAATCAGAATACATTCTGATGTGCCATAGCATATGCTTGGAGGAAATGGAGAAGGTAGGAACTCCTTTAGACTTGATGGGAACTTAGAATTCTACAAGATTTATTACTCTAGAAATCCATGGCCTCTTTGGAAAATAACTTTTTCTACAGAGATAATGCAAGTAGTCAGATTAAGTGTGTGCAAAGACTGTTGTTTGGGTTTTACTCCATACTATTTGCTATCAAATTTTGATCGACCTTTAAAATGTTTAATTACCAAGTCTCTAAAAAATTAATTTCAAAATTAAGTTAATCAAGTAATGATTTTTAAAAACACGCTTCTCATGTACGTTGTGGAGCTGTATTGTCATTCCATTTGTTTGTATGTCAAGAAGTAATTTGCAGTAAGTGTTGATTCATTTAGAGAAAACAAAAATGCTTCATTTTGATTTCTTTTGTCCGTTTCTTTAGTCATCTTCCGAATCTACATCTTTGTCTCTATTACTTTCCTCCACAGCACCTTCCCCACAGGGACCTAGGATTTTCCTGTTTCCCAGCTCCCCTACACTCTCTTGTGATTCCCCACATCTTAAAAAGTCCTGTCTCCTCCTCTCGGGGTCTAGCATTAAACCTCTACACTCTAGCCATGTCAGCCCAGTTGTTCTGAGGAAAAGTGTTTCTTTCACTGAAGAGCTGCTTCTGGCTGCTTCTGGTAGGATCTATCTATTATGGCCTTTTAAACAAGCTTTTAAGGAAATGTTGTTATTTGATTAACATTCAGATGCTTCTATAACCCTGGGTTTGCTCAGTTAGCCTCTGAAAATTGCTGGCTACATGACTATGCATTCCATTTCTCACCTCTGCCCCAGAAGCTTGAAACACCTTCAGAACTTCTTAGAGGATTTGAAACAATGTTATGTATGCTACAGAATTACTTCTTTACCCTTGAAAAACATCCTTTGCTAATTGGACTGAAATAATGTACTTTATTTGTGATCCCACACATTCTCTTCACTTTGTTGTTCCTGCATTTTGCATGCAGCAACTGCTCATTGCACTTGCTCGTGAATTCATTCATAATTTGCTAAAATAATAGTTGTCAGATGCTACCAACTCTGCTTTTTAATTTAACCTTTTAAACAAAGCCCATGCTTTTTGTTTTTACTGCCCACTTTTTCATTCCACTGACATGGATTATTTTTATAGATTTCAATTAAATAGTTGTCGATATTACTTCACTTTTTTTGTAGAAACTCTTTCGGTTAGTTTGTAATTTTTGAGTTTGTTTCATGTGTAGTATTTATGCTATGTTTGTCTGTATTTAATATTGTATAGTCCCTGACAGTGATGTTTAGAATCAATGCTAAATAGTAAAAGCAATTTAATCTTGTTTAATGGGACTATACAGATACTAATAGTTTTGTTTCCTTATCCAAGAACAGCTAAAAATACTCATTGAAAACTGTAGTGGTTTTGTATCTAATTACATGGTAATGGTAGCTTAGTAACTCTTGAAAATGAATGAATGAAGTTAGGAATGAATTTACATATATTATTAAGTCTTAGGTTATTATTTCTAGATCTCCCAGTCTTTGGTAGAAACAAATAACTGCACTTCAATATATATTTACACTCTTGTTCATCCATATCAGATTCTTGATCAGAAGAAAAAGGAAACTAACAAGGAAGTATTATGTTGAATTAGTTACAAATTCAGGAAAAGAAAATCTTGGCTTCATTTCTAACTGTTTGCACTCTGGTGTTTGTATTTCATCCTGCTCCTGACACCTTTTTGTTCTTTACGCTCTGCTTTCCTCTGCTGCTTAGGGGCTTATTTTTGCTTTGTCATGCTGGCCCTGGTGGCTTTAGACATAAGGAATAGCAATGATAATGTGTTTATAGGCATGACATATTACCAAAAAAATCTGTTCGCTAGCACCGTGTTTACTTTAGGAAAAAGACAATTTTGGCATGGAGTGATCTGTGGGCAGAGAGCCCCAGGTCACTGTCAGACACATAACCTGCATCTCAGCACGCCCTATCAAGGGGACCAGCAAAGATGTTCATGTACCTGATCATTTTTCTCTGCACAAAAACTCCTGTGGTCAGGCGGGAGGGCTGGAGGATAAACTCTGAAAGGAGGAAAAAGAGAATTATCATGTGATGCAAAACTGGAGTTTATCTTGTGTAAATCTGCAGGTTATGTGTGTGCCAATATAGTAATCAAATAAGTGTAGTTTTAAATGCTGAGCAGTAGTAGCCCCAAATAAGTAGTCGCTTATTTGAATGAATCAGATGAGTGAGTATTTCACAGTGTAAAATGATTTGTAATTTTTTTCAGAGTTTATATTCAAATCAAAGGATATGCATTGCCTTTCTTGTTCCAAATCATGCATTATGTAACTGCTGCTGTAATTATGTGTACAGTCTCCTACTTGTAGTTAGGAAAGGTGATTTACTTATCTAAAACTCTCCGAAAACCAGATTTTTATTACTTCTATTAAATAAAAATATTGTGAGAGGTACACAGCTATAGAGTAGTCTTACAGAGAGACTCTTTTTGATAAGGGTAGATAATCTGGTTATGGAACAACTTCATGTGAAAAGTAAATCTATATTTAAATCATAGGCAAAAAATCATAACAAGAAAATAAAAAAGTTATATGTCGTAGGAAAGAATTTTAAATCCCCATCTCTAAGTTTTTATATTTTAAAGTTGATTTTAATTCAGGTTAACAGCAGGAAAAAAATCTGAGATTGGGAGGGTTTGTTAAAATACTATAAAATCACTGCTAGTTGTGTGAAAAGGAAAATCTAGGACAACCCTCAAACCAAAATTAAATTTCTGATGCTTTTTTTTTCCCTTAAAAATTAAAATTATGGGGATAATTGGTGTGTTTTCAATGACTAATTTTTATCTATTTTGAAATTACCCTTTGATTACAAATTATAATATATGTTTCTTTGAATGTCATTTGTACTGATATTCTTTAGGAATGGGCAGTGGGAGTGCTGGAAAAGAAGGGGGGCCATTTAAAACTCTTTTAAGACAACAGACTCAGTCAGCTCTGGAACAAAGGGTAAGGCATTTTATACTTCCTTTTCTGGTCTACTAAAGTGAAAATTTATCTTGCAGTAAGTTCATGTTTGCTGTTACTTTCCGTTTGAAAAGATGTAATTTTACATCTGAACTTAGTACAAGTGTTGACTGTTTAATAGCCCTTTTATACACAAATTATTTAAATATTGATATATTACTAAAGCACTGGGAAAAGTGGAGCAATTAACTGTGCACAGCACTCAAGTAATTCCAGTGGTATTAAGAAGTTATAGGAGGAATTACCATTGTGTGGTCTCTGAAAGGTACTGATGTATGTTAAGTTTAACACTTGAGTAAAGACATGATGCTAAAGTTTTTACAGAAGCCAAATTCAGAAACATTAGCATAGCTTTAAACAAGGTGAAAATCCCATTTGGGTTTGGGAAAAGTTTTCAGGTTTTGGGAATGGAGTTGATACCTTGCACCCCATTTCATAGAGCAGAAGGTAGCCTTTAATTGGGAACTTGAAACTGAACTACTTGCCAAGCAGGAAGAGGCATACATAGATTTAAACTTTTCCTCTATTGGACTAAAAATGCCATTCTTTCATTATACTGAATAGACTATATAATGAAACAGAGTTTTTAATCAATTGTTTACTCATTTGGAATGAGTAATTGCAACTTTTTTTATAAATCACATACTGCTTCGATCAAAATGTTGATAATAAGGTGTCTTGAAGGAAGAAATGTGAGTATATTCATACTCAGAAATAAATTTATTGCAATTTCTGACTACCTCAACCAATGCCATAGGAGCATGTATGTTAGTTGGGAGCAAAGTGACTTGCAGCTGTGAAAGCTGAGAGGGGAGCTGCTGTCTGGAGTAAGTGGATGATTCTCTTCTTTTTCCTGTGTTCCGTGGTTCAGGGAGGATCGCCCCGTAGGTTCTGTGCCAGGCGGGTATGTTCAAACACGGCGTGGCTCTCTCAGCCCTTCTTGTATTGGGCACTTCGAAAGCAGTTTCTGAAAGATATTTTTATTTTGTGAGGCTTTGCAGATTTCTTTGTGATTTTGTATATGCAGAATTTTCTAAATTTGTTGGTTTTAAGAGCATTTTTTAAAATCGGTGTATTTTGCATGTTGATACATTTCAGTTAACATTTTAGTTTAGGTATGAGTACACATCCATGGCTTTTTGCTTTTAATTTTTTAATTTGGCTGAAGGAATGCTTTAAAACAAGCCTTTTTTTCTGTTTACCTTTGATTTTACTAGCATTTCAGATGTTCCGTGTCTGATATTTTATTTCCTTAGGAAGCTTTTTAAAGACAATTAAAAAAATAAATTAAGAGCCCTTAATGTATTTTTAGAGCTTGCATTATCTGGGCATTATTTTGATAAGGTCTGTATATTGTCTAGTATTAAAAAGATACTGTAAAATGGGGTGGAGATGTGTCTGTTTCTGAGTCTGTTATTGATGATGACTATGATGTAGCAGCAAAGCATGTGGACAGTTAATTGATAAAAAATATGTTCATTCTGTCTTCTGAAAATTTCATATTGGATGTGGTTTCTCTGTGGTGTCACATCTTTTGGTTACCTTGAAGTTGAGTTAACTGGAATGAATAACATCTCTAAGTTATTTAGTCTGTTTTAGTATTACACACTTAAACAGTGCACTCTTACTTGTCTGGATTACTTAGGATAGTGAGTATTTGGGAAAACCAAGAATAAATTCAGTATATATAGTGCAGTTTTACACGTATTAGATGTATCATAAAATCCCAGAATCTTCCTTGAGTTTAAGGGACCTTAATGGTCATCTTATTCCAACCACCCTGCCTTAAGCAGGGACACATTCCATGAGACCAGGTTGCTCAAATAGTTCTTTTGAGTCTTAGATTATTCTGGTGTATGGTAATGCTAGAGTGCTTCAAAATAATTTGATTTAGTTGCATGTCTCAACAGCTTTTTTTAACCAAATGTGTTTTTAGTGTATTAATTAAATAACCCTAACTGCAAACTGAACAGAGTTGGTTAGAAGGGTAATATTCCTCAAATTCTTCCCTGAAAAGAAACCTGTAGAAAATACAGCTGTGGAAAACTCAGGTACATGTTACATTGTACATTAATTACTGCTAGCAATTTCCTGGACATCTGTAGATAGCAACAGTAACTGTAGCACAGCTGTCTTTCTATGCATTTGTAATTAAAAAAATACATGCTGCATTTCCATCAGTAGGAAAATTGGAGGTTATCTTACTCCTAAAAATAGCCTATATTTTTGTAGAAATGGCCAAAAGCTGCTGCCAGTGGTATTTTGTGTCTCTCACTTCCACTTGGACGAATTCTGTGTTCTTCCTGTTTTTAAATTCTGCAAGTGCTTGAGAGATCCCTTCTGCTGCCCTTTCAAAATGGGGATCTGTTGGCCTTCATCTCTGAAGGGCACTGCAGGAAATCTGTTGTGTTAGAGTGCAGTTCTGTGGGAGATTGGTTTGGCTGAAATCCTTACTTGAACATTTTTTCTTTCCAGTGACTTCTTAGCCACCCATCCCCTCAGGTCAGGTCAAGAAAAGCTGTAAAGGTTGTCTGGCCACCTTGTGGGTGGCTCAGTTAATGTGTTCAAAATAAGAATAATTCACCAGGGAATGAGCAGTACCTGAATGTGGAGCTCTGGTTTAGCCCCAGAGGCTCTGTGAGCACACGTGAGCATTGCCCAGGGAGAGGTGCAGGGATGGGAATGAGGGAATGAATGGCTGGAAGGGAAGCAGAGAGCTGCTTCAGCTGGCACTGACACCAGGGTGTGTGCAGCCTTGCTCCGTATGCTGCTTGGCTGGGAATGACATGGAACTGAAAAAAGAGCACTGGCAATACATGTGTGTGTTTACACATCTTTAAACATTGAATTAAGCAAGTGTTTGAGCATTTGATTGTAACCTTATCAAACTTGCTCCAAACACTAGCTATAAAATCTGTGTATAGTTACAAGGATTAAAAGTGAATTTCTTTCATGGTCTGTGCGATCAGTGACTGTGGAGTAGTGAATTAGTAAAATGATTGACCATCTTCAGTTGTAGCTTTGAAATCATCCTGGTTTTTGATATCGTGAAATACTTTGTGATTGTATCACCTTGATGTAAAGGAGTCCTTTGCAGTAATAGTGGGGATTTATAATATGGGAACTACATCTGGTTTTCCCTGAAATCTCTGTTTTCCCAGAAAAAACTGTAGATTTAAAATTTTGAACTACTACAGTTTACAACATGTAATTGAGGCTGGAACTTGTCTTTGAGTAATATAATAATAAATTTTTAAAAAACTCTATAAATGAAATAGAAAAAGGAAAAAAAGTCTTCATAGGAAGTGATGGAGTTCCATCTGTGTCAGAATGAAGGAGAGATTGTTGATAGAGTTGTGTCAGAATGGTTCAGTGAGTGTTACCCAGATTTGTCTGTGGCTCAAGTTAACTGATAGAGCATGATAGAGATCTCATGTGTCATAATACAGGCTTGGGGGTATTGATATATTTATTGAGACAAAACCAAGTTATTATTTGAAGTTTTACTCCTGGTTTCTAGTGTAGGGAATCCCGCAAACTGGAGGTGTGAATATGGAAAAATTACTTACAGTACACAGCCTTACGGAAAGGAGCAGAGAGTGGAAAAACTTCAGAATTTCCATGTAGATTAACAACCATTGGACTTGCTCAAGCTTTAAAGCATGGAGTATTGTTTACTTTGCTCACTCCATACTGCTTCAGCCCAGTGTAAATGTGAGTGTGTGTATATATAGAATGTAAACATAGTAAAGGCTTAGTGGCATTTCATATAGGTGGCACACTCAGAAAACTCCTTTATTGATTTCTGCAGTCCTGGGAAAGCAAGTATTTTGAGTATTTTGACTATACTGATAACTTGCAAGGCACTTTGCAAGGCAATCTGTTAGAACTTTCAGGGGGAATCTTCACTGCATCCCTCTTTAGAATCCATCTCTGCTCCTGGAGACCCAGTCTCCACCACTGCAGGTCCTGACCCAGACTCAGTCAAGTAGGTTTGAAGAATCCTGGGATGAGATCTCCTACTTTTAATTGCATTATAAAGCAAAATTGGCTTTTTGGATTGGTTTTCTTTTTCTTCTGGTTATTGATAATATGGTTGCTGATTTCAAAGTTTGCCTCTTAATTTTGAAAGTTTAAGCCAAATGAAAATCCAGAAAACTTGAAGTTTGTAGGACCTTTAAAAAGTTTTAAGAGTTCCTATAAGAAGGGTGGCAAGAATCCTGAAGTATTAATTTTTAAACCTACGTTGGACTTTAGTTTAAGATGACTTCTCATACCATGTATTGCTGGAAGAACCTGATCCTTGCTGAATCTGCAGCATGTGTGCTCTTCAGGTAGAAGCTCGTTGAATTGTACTGTTTCCAACTATGTGAGAAAGGAACCTATCCCGTACTTTCTCTCATATAAAAATATGGTGTTTATTTGTTCCATTTAATCAGTTATGATTATACAAAACATGACCGCATGATTTTTCTTCCTTTTTGTTTTTTGGTTTTTTTTTTTTTTTTGCTTTCTGCATTTAGAATTGCTGAACATGAATTACTGCCTTTCCCCCATAAGTGTGCTATTATCTATATATTAGACATATCACAGAACGTCTCTGGAGCAATTAAAATCTAGTTTGGTGCTCACCTGCTTTGAATATGATTTTTATTTCAATTTTATCATATGTGTCTTGAAAAATTGCCATTTTTACTTTGTCCTTGTTATGAATTAAAAGCTGGAACAGTTACTGAAAGTTAACTCTTCATTTTACTTATGAACTGGAAGTGAATTATCTTAGTTTAAGAACTTACAATTTTGTTTCAAGACATATGCTTTGTTTTAAAAGATGCATATTTACTTGTTATATTTAGAGCTCACGAGCAGAGCAGTCCTTTGATATTTTTTAGGTATGACAGTCCTCATTCTTGCAGGACTACAGTTTGTTTCATTTTGTGCTTCAGAATCAAACTGCAGTCAGTTGTAACAAAAACACCTAAAAATGGAGAAAAACACTTTTTATCAGCTAACAAAAGAAGAATTCTGGCGTTTAGCAGCCGTGGTAAAAGCGGATCAATAGAGATTTTGTTAATCTCTAAATACCTAAAGTTTTGATTATTTATCTCTGTTGTGCTGAGAAACGGCTCTGTGGGGGAAAAGTATTTTTTCGGCGTGTAGAAGGTGTGCATCTCTGACCCGGTGGGTCCGTGAGGCTGGGAGTGTTGGTGTTCCAGGGGAGCCAGCAGCAGTGCTTGAATGGCTGCTTTTAATGCCAACAGGAGTTCCCGTTCTTCACCCTGACCACCTTCCCGCCAGGCTTCCTGCTCCACGTCGGCGGCGTCGTCAGCGCACGCTCGGTCAAGCTGCTGGATCGCATCCACAATCCCGGTAGGTCAGCGGGGAGCCCTGCCTGGCACGGGGACGCCTGGCACGGGGACGCCTGGCACGGTCCTGCCCCCCAGCCTTGGTGCCAGCAGGCCCTGAGGAGAGGCAGACCCGTTCTAGCCGTGCACGGCAAAAGCCCTGCAGCGAGGCTTGGAAAATGGGTCACTCCAAGGCTGCGGTTTTACCGAGAAACGTTTCGGCAAATTAAGCTAGTAATAAAAACAGTTTGAGTCAGTAATTTTGCACTGAAAACTAGCTTTGAATTATTGAGGGGTTAATTAGTTTTTTGAAGCTTTTTGTGATTGAAACGTGATGCAAGCTTTTTCGTTCAAACAAAAATGAGATTAAATGCTTGACCTTAACTATGAATGTTTTCCCATTTTCAGCTCCTTGAAATCTTTAAGGACTAATGGCTACAGCTCACAACATGATGTTTAACCGTTACAGCTTTGTTTCTGTTCTTAAAACCTTTACTGAACAGTACCTCGGGATTTTTATTTCTTATTTTCCTGGGAACTCCAGCACGAGAACGCGTGTGGTTTGCATGTCCTAATTCTAACGTTACACCTGAGTGGCTCTTGACTCTGTAGACTTGGTTGGTTTAGTCACTGAGACCAGATGAGGAATGCTTTGCAAAGGTTGGAGTTGACAGTGCACTTAAAAATGCAGAGGAGAGTAAAAATAGCACCTGTAGTGGTTTTGCATGCACTAGTCAGGAGTAATAAAAGGAAGTTTATCCAAATGCATCCTTAAAAACAAGTACAAAAAACGAATCCTTTTCTTCCTATGGCCCAAGGCAGGCAATTCTCCAGGCAGGTAGATCAGATTTTTGCTGATCTAAAGGTTCAGTAAACCAGCAACATGAAGTTAAATCCAAGACTTAGTTTGAATAAGATCCTCGTATTTTAAGGGATTTTTTTCAAGTGTATTAGTACACAATTGTTGCTCTTTGTTTTCCTATTCTAAGATCCATTTACACAGTGAAGAGAAAATGAAATGTCAAATATAATTAATATGTGAGCTTTTCTTTCCCACAAAGTTATTTTAGTATTCTGTATTATCAACAGATTTATGATACAGGTCTGTTATGTGCAAAATTTACTGTGTGATAGATATAAAACAGAATATTAAAAAAATCAATTTTGCTCAGAAGTTTTTAAAACTAATTTCTTGCATTATGCACTCCTTAATTTTTACCAGCTGACTGGAAGCAGAATAAGACATAAGGCAAGACAGAGATGTGTGTTTGCACAGCTGCAGTGTTTCTGTGAGACTTGCAGATTGCTCCTGACAAGTGAATGTAAAGTGCATGATCCTTGGAACTCCCGTTGCAAAATAGTGGGAACAAAACGGGGAATGAAAGCACATAGCTGTGGGAGGGAAGGTGGAGGAGTAGAAAAAAATTGTGATATGATTATGATTGTGAAGCATTTGAGTCAAATAAGCCTGTAAAATATTAAAGGAAGCAAATAAACTGGTGAATTAATGAATCAGGAAAACATGGAAGAGGAGAGAACATTTGAAGGTGGATTAAGAACCTGCCATATACTGTCCACTTTGGTCACCTAGTGCCAGATTGCTATAGCATGCTCCTTTTCCCTTTCTATTTCAGCCTCTTATTAACTCTGCTGTCTGTGTCTTTCCAGTTCCTGTGGAGTGATGTTGTCAATTGTGTTCTTGTTGGTAGTTTTTTCACTATTCTGCTTCTATAACTGATCTACTAATTTGCTGTTTTGAACTCAGCCTTTGTCGGAATAATGGGTAACACAAGATCATACAAACTGCTAGACTGGAATAGTTTCAATTCAGGTATTTTATTAGTCATTCAGTACTACATATGCTGACAGAAATTATGGCAGCTCAGTGAAGTTATTAGAAATGCTCTAGGATATTTAGGTTAATGCTTCAAATTTAAATCTATTTAATCATCAAATACCTAAATGTCACTTATTCATGTTGTTAAAGACTTTCTTTAAAATTACAAAACATTGCTTTAGTATAAAATAGTATTGCTAAGAGTAATGTAATACCAATCTGGAAAGCTGAATGTTCAGATGTTTATTTAGTAGTCACCTTCAGCTCAGCAGTCATGAAGGAAGTAATTTAGGATAAGAGAATGGATTCTTCCTTGCACAGCTGGGATCATGTCAGGTGTGATTTTTTTTTTGTTTGTTTGGTTTGGTTTGTTTTTTTTTTTTTTTGTGAGTAATGGGTTTTTGGGTGTTTATTTTGGGCTATTGGTTTGATTTAGGGGGACTGTTGGTTAGTTTTCTTGTTTTGCATGGGCTTGCACTTTCTTCAACAAAGGCTTTCCTCCTGTTAATTTCAGGAAATCAGTGCATGTGTTTGTTCTTAATACTGGCTCTAAAATGATAGTTGTATTATAGATAATAATAGATATAAAAATCATCCAAGAAAAATAGAGAACTATCAGTTTAAAGAGAAGGATAGTATGTAGCCCAGGATTTGTTGGTTCATAAATCTTGTATTGTAAAAAGCAGCCAGTTACAGGACTTAAAACATGATTATTTGAACTTTTAAATCACTTCATTACCCAGCTTGAAAAAAGCTCCAATATTCTTATTTTTCTAATGCAGTTTTAGTAATCAAAGTATGTAACTTCCTTATACAGCTGTGGAAGGAATGGATGAGTTAGTGCAGTCTAGATGAAGTAAAGATTCTCTCTGTCATGTTTTCCCTGTGGAAAGATTACATGCTGTGAAGGAGAGGCAGGTTTGACTTCCCTACATAGAACATCCAGGCCAGCAGACCTTGTCAAACTTTGGTGTTTATAAAGCTGGCACCATAAAGAGGCACAAAGCTGACCTCTGAGGACTTGTTAGCCCCAGAAGCTTTCCTTCTTGGTAATTCACTGTGGCCATGCAGCTCTGTATCATGCTCTAAAATTCAGTTTAAATGTGCAGTTAGTACAAACCAGACATTTTTCATTTGCAAATTGTACAGAAGTAGGGAGAAATTAAAACTACTGGGTCATTTTTAGTGTTCCTTTCACAGTAAGCATCCTTTAATATTATGATTATGAGCTTTTCTGATTTTGTTGGTTTTCTGTGCTTGTTCTAAAGTGATAATCCTTTAAAATTAACTTTCAGTATGAAAAGAATATTGCAAAATTCTCAGGTCTGTGATTGGTATGGCATAGTCTGATCCAAGGTGTTAAAAATGTGTTGAAATTTTTGTATATTGTGTATGACCTTGAAAAGTTGGAATTCATTGTTGCTTTTTCCAGATTGTTTAGTAGGATGTTTTTATTTAAAGAATTTTATTAGAGTAATGGAGTAAATGAGTTTATGTACAGATACTTTAACATGCCTTGAGCTAGGCTAGAAAGTGATCCACCATGTAAGATTAGGAAGCGAAGTGTAAGTCAGGAATTCAGTTCTGGACAGAATATCTAAAACTGTTCTCTGACTTTTTTAGAGATTAGAGGAAAATGAACATACATATATATGTATATAAAACATTTTACCCAGAGGTGCTTTTACCTGAAGGTGTTGGTTGGGGGAGAGAGGTCTAAACCAAGGAGTGAGTGTGGAGCTAACCCCTCCCTGAGAGCTGGCTGTGTTTCTGTAGCCTTGGTGTGTCAGTGGGTCTGCAGGAGAGCTGGTTAACCCTGCTGCTCTGGGACTGAGCAGGTTATGTTCCTGTTCTGGAACTATGGATGGGGATTTGCAGTGCTAGGTGTGCTGCTGGGCAGAGAATGCCATCACAGCCATAAGTGGGCTAAAATTGTTTGTGTGTAAGATACAACAGGAGCATCCAGTGGTAGGGCAATGTCAGAGATTTGAAGGTGCTTGAAAATCAAACGTGGAAGTAAAGACTGACTATTTCATGAATGGAAAAGAAGCTGCTTAAATTTCAGGGAATTGCGTATAGTTCAGTGAAGAATTGTTTAAATGTTTGTAAAATACACCAAGGTGGATATGAAGATGAATTTGCAAAATGAAAGTAGGGAGTTGAGCAAAAATTCATAAAAAAGAGGGCACATAATACAGTGGAAGATAGCCTCTGGTGCTGTCTCTGAGAAAGAATGAGACATTCTACTCTACATTTCTAAAAGACATTCTGCTCTAAGGATAAAAACATGCAAGGAGTCCTCAATCCAGAAGGCTGGATATTTGTTAAAAGCCTGGTACTGAGGTTTTAAACACAGAGTACAAAGGTAGGCAGTGCAAGAACTTGCTTACTAGAGGCTGCTTTTCCATATGGCTGTTTCATAGCACCAATATATCGTTTCTCACATAATTAAATGTTAAACTCCTCATTCAGGAAGCTGCTCCAGCAGTGCATCTTCAGCTCCAGCAGTCAGAAATATAGAAAGATAAAAGATTGTTAAAAATTTCCTAAACATCTCCCGAGCTCCCTGTGCAATATCCAGTCTTGCTGTTGGAGTATGAAATTCTCCAAAGTTAGTTTTTCAAATGAGGAAATGGAAGAGGAAAGCTTGGCTATGTTTTGTTTCTGTAACTGAATGTTTTTCTTCCACAGAAATACAGAGAACGTGCAAATTACATTTCAAGCTGCTTTCTGGGGTGTAAGTGTGGCCCAGTTGCAGGAACTCAGTAGGAAATGTCAGAATGTGCCTGTTGGTGTCTGATGTGGTTATCCTTCAGCTCAAGTAGTAAAAACCCCAACAGTTTAACCTTGACCTCTTACCTTTTCTTGGAGAATTTCCAGGTTGGCTTCTTGTCCATCAGTGTGTGTTGAATGAAAATGGGAGGTTCAGGCAGTTGTCAGAGGTTTTTTCTGGAAAGAATGAGGGGTGAGATATTCCCCAGTAATAATTGACTCCAGTTTTCTGCAGCTTTTCCAGAGGAATGAATGTTCCCAATTATTTCTATGTTAATGTGAATTGTGTTTGAATATTATTTCTGGAAGCAGATACACCCTTATGGTAATGAAATAATTCTCATTGGGACTGTGCTT